GGGCTTAAGTTGGACCTCGGCTGAAAAAGATGTTGTATCTTGAGCTTCCAGAACTAGAAGTCATACAGAACAGTGATTTTGTTGATGAGGAAGGTCCATAGAAAAATATTTGGATGAGTTTTATGCAGAGTCTGGGAACAGGTCCTTCGTTGTGGGTAAGCGGGAATCCCGACTCTATGAACCTGAGGAAGGGCTGCACAACCATGGTAGGGGCGTTATGACCTGAGCTTTTCATAGTGCTAGTAGGAATGCCAGTGCATGAATCCCATCCCACAATGAATGGTTTGGTGATGTGTTGAGTTGTAGGGTTCCAATATGTGTTCTGTCAATGAACATACAGATTCTGGATTATACTCTGACCTGGCTATGCAGAAAATTTCCTTGGGAACATGAGTCAAATATGTTCCTACTGTCAAACTGCATTTGATATTGTTGGGGGGCTAAGGTGCCACAAATGTGAATCTCAAAAAGCTTGTTTGCTATCAATCTTGATTGCCTGTTCCCAATGTAGATTTGGACCATCTAGATACAGTTAGAAAATATACATATATGTGGTTATTATATCAGTTTAAGCTGCTTGATATGTGCTACCAAAGTGTGTGCATCATTGCTTACTGCTTGCTGCTACTCACTGTTAGTTGTGGAGTTTTGTATGATGGCTGTATAGGTTCAAAGATAAAAATGCACTGCCAACCTGCTTGCTGACATTTTATGAAATGTCATATTGTGATAATCATCTTCCCATTAAATTTTGTACTGTATAGTCAATAGTCATATCATTCTTCCTACCTAATGAAATCTCTTGACTGTTTCTCTCCATGTATTACTCTTCTTTCCAATTAGTTCACCCGTTTTATGAAATTGGATATACTTATTTATTTCAAACATCAAACCTTAGGTATTTTATTGTTAAAAGTTGCAACCGAGAAAATTTGGAATTATCTGTACAACAAGGATTATGGGCAACTCAGAGGAGCAACGAGTCCAAACTTAATGAAGCTTTTGACTCTGCTGAAAATGTGATTTTAATTTTCTCAGTCAACCGGACTCGACATTTCCAGGTAGGATTGCAAATTACATCCCAATGTTTTTTACGTCGCTTTCTATTTTTAGTTATATCAAGTTATCTACTGGGGGTGCTAGAATTAAAATCGCCTATTATTTGTTAGGGTTGTGCAAAGATGATGTCCAGAATTGGTGGGTCTGTTGGTGGAGGGAATTGGAAATATGCACACGGAACCGCGCATTATGGGCGAAATTTCTCTGTCAAATGGTTAAAGGTATAATTTTGTTTAAACTTTATGGCAACCTTCTACTCATTGAGCTAGAATTTGATTCCCTCTTTGATATTTTTTCCTGCTGCAAACAAACAGGATCCTACAAAGCTTCTTGTTAGAATTATCAAATCTGTTTTATTATTATTATTGTTTTCACTCTTACTGATTGGCATGCTAATGAGTATGGCTTTGCTTTTATGTTCCTTGTTGGCTATAGTTCACAGTATCTGTTTTATTTATTTGAGGGCTTGTATCTTAATAGTTAATTAATTCTTTTGATCCTATGATCTCAAATTGTTGGTTTGAAATTGAATCAAGATTGGAGTTGATTGTACTTGTATCGACTTTAAGTTATTTGGACTTCTTTCAATGTTTTAATTCATAACATACCTAAACTCCCATCTGTGTGCCAACTTGAGTCAAGTTTCAGTTGGGATCACTACTTACATCTGGAAATTAGGAGAACCGGTTATGATGGAAGACCTCAGTTTAATTTTTAATGGGCATGGATAAGCAGTAAATGATAAGATGTGATGACTAATTGCAGTTTCTTTGATGCAGCTATGTGAACTGTCCTTTCACAAAACTCGTCATTTGAGGAACCCCTACAATGAGAACCTACCAGTGAAGGTAAAATCTGGAGCCTTAAAACTATAGAAACACCCACATAAACACGATTTGATTTTTGTCCTTTCTTGGTTAATTGTGAAATCACCCAATTTTTATTTCTGTCGGGATTTTCAATACGTATCAGTAGGCTGCAGGTTTCTCATGCTAATCCATTATTCAAACGGCTGAAAACATGTTCTTACATTTATAAAAGACATAATTTCATTAATTAAAATGAAAGTTACAATCCAGGGGACTCGGAGTCCACTGAACAGTCATGAGTACCAAGCTTAAATTGACAACCAAAAGCTCAAAAATAATAACAATATAACCTGTATGACTAAATGCACAATCCATGAATATATATGTATACATGTATTTTTGTGGGTCCTTCTGTGGTTTGTGTGTTGGGTATTAACATAACAGATTAGTTGGCATTGTTTAGAACCCTGCTGAAGAATCATTGTCTAATGCCATGATGTATCACTTGGCTGCGTGTTGCTTAAAAATGTGTGTTGATGCATCACTTGGTTCTGAAACAGAACAAATCTGATAGAATATTATGTTTGTAGCTTCTTTACGTGGGTGACTATTTTTTATTAGCTGTTTCACCATGCCTTTTCACTTGCAATCATTACCATTGTCAACATGTAGTGCTTGCTCATGTGATACTACTTTCTTGTGTAGACATACCTTGAGATGAAAAAAATAACTTCTGAGCTTATTGTCGTGCTTGTACTCTTGCAGATAAGTAGAGATTGTCAAGAGCTAGAGCTCTCCGTCGGTGAGCAGTTGGCGTCCTTGCTTTATCTTGAGCCAGATAGTGAACTTATGGTATGTTAAAAGTTCACAGGAAACTAGTTAAATTTTGCGAAAAAGAAATTGAAATTGAAAAAAAAGGGTTAAAAGGAAAGAAAGCAAAAAGAGAGAAAGCAATAGAGTTCCAAAAATATTTACAGTTACAGTGTGTTTATCAATTAATTTTTAACATTGGAATTTATCTCGATACTTCTCCTCTCTTAGTTTTCATTTGTGTTGTCCATTAAATTAGAGGCCATTTTGCTGGGGCAGGACAAGATCTGTTTTGCACTATAATGTGTGCTTTACTTTTAATTTTATGTTATTAAATGGCCAGAACTTGATGAATCTGAATCTTGTTTAACGTTCCCTGCGTACAGGAAATTTCGATTGCGGCAGAATCAAAACGCGAAGAAGAAAAAGCAAAGGGAGTTAATCCAGAGAATGGTGGTGAGAATCCAGACATTGTCCCATTTGAGGACAATGAAGAGGAGGAAGAGGAAGAAAGTGAAGATGAGGAAGATAGCTTCGGTCAAGTTCCCGGAGCAGGAAATGATGGCAGAGGAAGGGGCAGAGGAGGAGGAGTCATGTGGCCTCCTCACATGGCTCTACCAAGGGGTGGCAGACCTATGCCCGGGATGCAGGGTTTTCCCCCAGGAATGATGGGTCCTGATGCAATGCCCTATGGACCTGACGGATTTGTAATGCCAAATCCGTTTGGTATGGGGCCTCGGGGTTTCAATCCGTATGGTCCCAGGTTTTCAGGTGATTTTACAGGGCCCAACCCTGGCATGATGTTTCGTGGGAGACCACAACAACCTGGATTTCCACCCGGTGGGTTTGGGATCATGGGTCCTGGACGTGCACCATTTATGGGAGGGATACATCCAGGCCGAGGTGGTCGGCCAGCAGGTATGTCTCCAATGTTTCCACCACCCCCACCACCATCATCTCAAAACCCTAACCGGATGCCGAAGAGAGATCCAAGGGGAGCTTCCACTGATCGGAAGGGACAAGATATGTCAGGTCCGGCTGGTGGACCAGATGATGAGACACAGTATGGTGCTGGAAACAACTCTAGACATGATGATAGCGAAAGTGAGGATGAGGCCCCGAGGCGGTCGAGGCATGGAGATGGAAGGAAGAAACGGCGAGACTCGGAAGGAGATGCGACCTCCGAGCACTAGCAGGTCGGCAGTACTAGTGATGCCATGCCCATGCCACTAACGAGGGAAACCCATCTTCCTCCACACCATAGGCTTACTGCTTTTTCTTAGAAAATGGAAGGTTTCATTCGTGATATATGAATTCTTTAGTGCTACTGATGTCTTTCCATTTTGTTAGAAGTTTGAAATATGCGGTAAATTCTGTGATATTCTTGTAACTATCCTGGTAAAAGCAACTAAAGGTTAAAGGTAAAGGCAGCGGAATTTATAATTATATACTTTTTTTAATCCTCTGCAGCAAGTTCGAATCAATTTAGTACAAAATATCGTTAGTATAAAAATAAAGAAAAGTTAATGAAAAATGTTTGAAAATTTTGAGTTTTAACGATAAGGACAAAATAAAAGGTAAAATGAATAGTACTAGAATTGATTTTTTTAGTTTAAAAATGTGGTTTTTTTATTAAATTGTACTAGAAGTTTTTTATTAAAATTTCCTTAAAAATAAAGAGGACAATAGAAAAACAATGGATTTTCGTGTTCAATTTTTAGTCGTTTGCACTTCAAAATAGAGTAGCACGGATTTAAAGTGGAATTCTCTCCAGCACATTATTGTCATGAAAAAGCCGTTAGTGTTAAATCTCAATGTTTATTTTTTGCGTATTGATGCGCAAAGAGCATCATGCTAAAGTTAAAAGTAGTTTAAAATATTAGTATTGGTGGTTTAATATGCAAATTTGTGGAATATCGATGAATATACCGATATCACTATCGGTTGTTTTTTATGAAAATGATGAAAATTTGCTTTAAAACGGAATATTTAAAATGAAACTTTTGGAGTGTCATATGACAATTTATCGATATTTAAGTGATATGTCTAAAAATCAAAAAAATCTGTTGATTTTACTTGAAATTTAAGTTTATTTGATATCTTGGGAAGTTTAAACTTCATCCCCAATTTTATATTTTTCTCTGATTTTTTTCGATATTTCAACGATAATATCGAAGAAGTTTTAAACAATGATTATGAGTTATAATCCAACGAAACAAAACATTTGGGCCTGGAAAGTAGAACAATTGTTACGAGTTCAAATAAATCGAACCCGGGTCACTATACATGGACCCGCGACCCGAAATTCTAACACTTCCTCACCGTCTTCCTCGCCGTTTAAACCTTAAACCCTTCAAAAACCAAAACCCTAGCAAACCAGTGCAAGCAGCAGCAGCAGTTCCGATTTCCCCTCAACACTCCTCACATTGATTCCGACCATGAAGAACAAGAAGAGAGGCGGTGGCTCAGCTCCCAAGGGACCCAAAAAGGGCAAGGCTTTCTCTCTCGACGAGGATCCCTTCTTCGGCACCGAATCCAAGAAGCGCCGGAAAGTCGAGCGCGATGAGATTGAGAGCGAATCAGACGACGACTACGGGGCCGTCGGGGCGGACGGCGAGGGCGGCGGAGAGGAGGCCGACGAGGAGGAGGAGGCTATAGTGGAAACGGCAGACGAGAAGAGGAATAGGCTGGCTCATGAGTTCTTGGAGAACACTCGGGAGCTGCTGAGGAGGGCCAAGGAAGATGAGGATGATGATAGCGGTGAAGAGGGTGTGAAGGAAGGCGAGATGGACTCGCTTGTTGGCAAGATGTTGCAGCAGCAGCAGCTCGAGGACAGCGGCCGAGCTCGCCGTGCCATTGCTTCTAGGTAATCACTGCTTTTTACCTTCCTTTTTTTTTTTTTTTTTAAATTGAAATTGTTTTCATTAGAAGTTTTTAATCTGTTTTTGTTGTTTTCGTTTAACTTGTTAGTCAGCATTTCTAGTGTTTGCCAATTTTCCTTTGGTTTGTGCCGAAATTTGGTTAATTCGTGTTTATTATTTGCAATTGTGGGTGTTTATGTTAGTGATTAGATTGTAGGTGTTGTTATTGTTTCAAAAGTTGGCCGACATGTAGCGGCATTTGATCGGTATTTGGATTCAAAGTTGTGATCTTTATAAACCTCCGTTTTGATTTAATGCTACTTTGTTCAGATGCTATCATGCTACCATCAACTTTCTTGCTTAAGCATTTTATTGTCTGACACTTAAGTTTGATGGGTATCTTGGAATTTTACTTCCGTCTTGTGGGTTATTTAATCTGTTACTTTGTGGTACATTGTTCCTAATTCCCATGTTGAATTCTGTCATTTTAGGGTTAAAAAGCCAGAATCTACTGATGAATTTCGGATATTAGTGAAGCATCGACAAACTGTTACTGCTGTGGTTCTGTCCGAGAATGACCTCAGGGGCTTTTCAGCTTCTAAGGATGGCACCATTCTACAGTGGGATGTAGATAGTGGGAAAAGTGAAAAGTATCTATGGCCTAGTGATGAAGTACTTAAGTCCCATGGGGTCAAGGATCCACAAGGTCGAGCTAAAAAGCATAGTAAACACGTGTTAGCACTAGCAGTTAGCTCTGATGGTCGGTATTTGGCAAGTGGGGGCTTAGATCGCCATGTTCATTTGTGGGATACTCGTACACGAGAGCATATTCTGGTAAATACGATTGATTTGTTGCTTCTTTTTGGTTATGGAGTAGAATAATGCGTTAATATTTTGGAAATTGTTAGTAGGTTTTGGTTTAATAAACTTAGTTCAATCAGGATAGGGAGTGCAGTTGACCTCTCATACTGTTAGGACAATTCAATAGCTGTAAAATCGCTAGTGCATAGACAAGGGCCTATGTGCCTATATACAAATCATTTGTGAATGCCCTAATTTATTTTATTTTTTACAAGAAACACAAGAAATGCTTTTGTTTTTATCCAACAGAAGTACATGTTTTTCTTTGGCAAAAGCAGTACTATCTGTAAGCTTACTCACATGTCGTCCATATATTGGGATTGGGATGCATTGACATGTTAAAGACACTGATGAGGAATTATGTCTGATTATGCTATAGAAAGGTCCTAAACAAAATAATGAAATGTCAGGGCTGTGGATGTATTGTTTGTCAACTTAAGTTTTGACAGTAAGCTATGATTTTTTATTATGCATACGCACTCTCCACTTCTCCCTCCAAATTTTGTTAGAAGCAATATTTGTAACTACGGAAAGGTTTTATGATCTGTTCTTAATTGAACTTTGTGTTTGTTAACAGGCTTTTCCAGGTCACAGGGGCCCCGTTTCATGTTTAACTTTCAGGCAAGGGTCTTCAGAACTTTTTTCTGGTGCATATGATCGAACAGTTAAGATATGGAATGTAGAAGATAGAGCTTACATAAACACATTATTTGGTCATCAAGGGGAAGTATTAAGTCTTGATTGCCTACGGAAAGAAAGGGTATTGACTGTTGGACATGATCGAAGCATGCAGTTATTTAAGGTAAGAAGTAAATACTTTTTATGTTTTGGGAACACTTGTAAATAAAACTTAGGTCAAATCACGTTGGCGGAAGCTACCATTTCATATTATTCCTTTCCTTCTCATTTCTAAAATCCCCAAACTTCCTAGGAATCTTTAGCTTTCCTGTGATTAACTTTGGATCCCAATGCTATTGAATTGCAGTACCGCATTAGCCAGACTTTTAGGATAGACTTTCTTTTTCTTTCAATTATATGTTCCAGAGTTACTTTGGTGTACTTACGGCATGTAGTCTATCTTAGTTTTGACACAATCATCTGTTACCTGAAACACAGGTCCCAGAGGAGTCACGTTTAGTATTCCGTGCCCCTGCATCTTCATTGGAATGTTGTTGTTTTATTAGCAATGACGAATTCTTATCTGGTTCTGATGATGGAAGTGTTGAGCTTTGGAACATGGTGCGGAAGAAGCCTGTTTGCATAGTTAAGAATGCTCATCCTTTATTGGCTGCACACAAAGAAGTCGAACAAAAGGATGGTAATAGAATCCCAAATGGTCACATAGGTAAATTTATGTAAAACATTCCTAAGTTTTTCGGGCTTCAAGTTTTACTCTGCGGACGCTTTTCTTCCCAGTTAGTTGTGTTCTAACGGGATGGTATTGAATTTTGTTGTGCAGAAAATGGTAACCACACTTCTGAAAGCTTTGATTGTTCATCAACCAATTCTTGGATCAGTTCCGTCACTGTTTGTAGAGGCAGTGACCTCGCTGCATCAGGAGCTGGTAATGGCTCTGTTCGATTATGGGCTATTGAAAGTGAGAGCAGAGTGCTTCAGCCGTTACACAACATCCCATTGGTATGCCAAATCAATTATTAAAAAACCCTGTTTGCCTCGTGTAAATCAGAAGTTAACAAGTTTTTTTCTTCCCTCAATATTCTTGTTACGTGCAGGTTGGATTTGTGAATTCTTTAGCTTTTGCAAAATCTGGACGGTTTCTGGTTGCAGGAGTTGGGAAGGTGACCTCTCTTTTCTTTTCGATCTTCACTTATTTCGCAATCTTGCAATTTTTGCTTTCTCATATTCCTTTCAACTTCATCGATTGAAAGGAATGCTCAACTTTAAGATTGAACTTCGAAAGTGGATATGAAAGTTGAAACATTATAATAGTGCAGTGCAAGCGTAATGCTGCTAGAGCTTAAATTTCTGTTTTTTGGGGCAAGGAGAATGACGCAAAACTTAAATTTCTGTTTCTTTGAATACTTCATCGGGATATTTCTGAACCCGTGTCTATTTTCTTCAGTCTCGTTTCCATATTGTTCACTTTACGGAAACATTCTCAGCTTCTAACATTGCCAGTGACCTTTGCGACAGGAACCTCGTCTAGGAAGGTGGGGACATAACCCAGCTGCTCGGAACGGAATCGCAATCCATTCCATTAAGCTTTCATCAGAAGATACAAACACTCTCTAAGCTCTCGGTTTTGACAATCATATGTTCTTGCACCTCCCAATTTTGACAACAATGAGTTGATGAGTTAAATGAAATGATGTTCCTTCTGCTCAGATTTTATGTAGTTGAGCTTTTGTTCTTGTACTGTGTCATCGACGACGTTGAATTTCATACGACGAGGAGGGCAACATTTTTCAATGTGCATTCGAATCAGAAGTCGAATAGTAGCAAGTGATGTAAGAATTTGAAGACCTAAATTAGTAGCCTGTGGTACATCATACGGGATTTTCCTGCAGAAGTTGCTTGCGACGATGTTTAATCCACCATTCTCTTCGAACAATTCCAAGCTCCGAACAAATAAACGTTCACTGTAAAAGCATGTGGAATTTTATGTAGCAAAATTGGATCATTAACATGTTGCAATTATCAAAAACGGTTGTAAACAGAAGAGTTTATGAGCATTTTCAATTATTTGTAACAGTATACAACAATGTTTTCCAACAAGTTACAATGTCAAGTACAAATCTCCAGACGTACAATGCAAGCTCTGCCCTACCAATCTACGCCCAATTTCCGCGAATGGAAGAGTTTGTCGATGTACAGACTTAGAGGTGCAGATGCAGCAATATAACGCTGCATTTGAACTTTTGCCGAGTTATCTGAAAGAAACAAAGTAAAGGGTAATGTGAAGTTAACAACTTAACACGACCAGTCGATCGAGTATAACAATACAAGTAAAAGTTTCCCTGAAACAAACAAGGAAAATATTGAAAAGGGTTTTCCTTCCCCGCTTTTATTTTACAATCCATTTGCAAAGTGACATATTTAACTGGTGCTAAGTGTTCAAACTTTCGACTTGAGACTCAAATCATCTAAAACGGAGCCTATCTGTACAAAATGTGAATAATGGAAAGGTTGATATTCACAAGTTATATAATGAAAGAAATGGTAGAAGCTACACTAAAATCTATAAGCTCAGCAAAGTCGAAATCTCGGCAGGGATTGTCGAGCATTAGTTTTCAACTTTTCACTATATTCAAAACGGCACAATGCCATAAAGCTCCGCTCAAATCAATCAAAGGTCAAATGGGTGTGTAAAGGTTTTAAAATAAAACTACCAGTTCCAACCGTTTTGGCGTAAAAGGTCCAAATGCAGCTATCTTTGCAGCCAAATCAAATTTGCCGAGATATAGAATTTAAGAAACAAATGTAATATCTCGTAATACACTCACCGTCTTCATTGAGTTTGTTCATTAGTTGTTCCCTAGTAGGAAGCGCATACATCCCCGCAGCAACAGCTTTCCTGATGACCCATCCATGGTGGGGAGCAAACACCTGTGCGTAAGCCTTGGAAGCTGGATCCTTCAGGGAATTTCCCCTTCCATATGAAAACAAGGAAATTTCAATACAATGTAACCATGTAATATAAACTTAAGCATCCAAATAATTTGTATGAACCTCGACATCTTAAGCTGGATTCACTTTGGTTCGTGATGTTTCCACTTGAACAAGCTATACCAAACTTTTACAAATTGTAGCATGTTAACCCCGTTTAATGTTTATGTTCAATCAATCATACCACTACACCAGTCGCCGCAGGCTTGCAGCGTCACCATTTAAACCAATTCAAGGAAGAAAAACAGATGAAAACTATGTTCGTGCTTAAAACATAACACACGGTGGTTGCAACAGCTCGAAACAACAAACGACATGCAGCAAACGGAACGCATCCAAGTATGATTGTACAACTAGTGCAGCTGCTTGTATGGTTTTACAACAGTTGCAGTCCGTCAATGTGCAAAAGTTTGCAAATTTATGGTGCAAAATCAATTTTTTTTTTAGACCGAAACTCTAAATACATTTCGCACTTTTAATTCGCAAATAATCCCCTATTAATTTCGATATAATCCCAACAAACTTTGTACTAAAAAGCTAATTAATTTAACTGGAAAATAGTAAAATGAAGATGATCAAACAATCGAGCTATGATGCAAATCAATAGTTTCTGATAAAATTACGTACTTGGTGACTATAATTTGCTCGAAGAGCACTCTAACCATGTCAATCCCACGCTTCACTCTCAACAAATTCCTCGAGTGACTACCGGCCTTTCTCACGCAATCCGCTTCGATATCGCGATCGAGCAGAACCTGCAACGTCGAGATTGAATCCGACGCCTCCGATAGATCATGGACCTGTTACAATCCCGATACCGATCCAATTGAAGCGGAAATTTTCAGACTTTGGTTTGAGCACGTTTCTGCGATTTTCTCGGCAACCAAACAGGAAAAAAAAAAAGGGACAATGAAATTGCGTACCTTGGCGACGTAGTCGATCTCGGCGAATTTGAAGGCGATTCCCAAGCAGCCGAACAGAGGCGAAACGAGTGAGCACGCATGAGAGAACGGAGCCACCTCGACGTCCGCCGCTGGGGAGTTTACGGCTGCCTCAAGCTCTTTGAATGCCTCCGCTATCTTCCTCAGCGGCCTCTCGTCCGCCATTGCAGCTCTCTCGTTCTCTCTCCTCTTGTTTCTCTCTCTAGAATTCTCTCTCCGTGTTAGTCTTTTGCTTTGCTTTTCTGCGGACCAGACCAACGCCGTGGCGACGAAGAAGTGAAAAAAATAATATTTGGGGACGTTTGGACACGGGCAAGTCTATGATCCTGTGCGGGATTGGAATTATCCTTACGTCGGATTAGGATGAACATTTATCCGTGTTTTGTCATTTTACAATTTTACCCATCAGTTGTCCTGTGACAATAACCTCGTAACGAATGGTGAATTAAATTTAGCCAAGGTTTCGTACTTGTGTAGTAATAATGACAACGATTTCCCACCCGACAATAATTGCTTTTCATTTCGGTCAGGAATAACCGAATAGAAAGTCTCCAATTTATTACCCTTTTGAAAAATGTGTGTATTTTTATTTTTTCAGGTAATCCTCGAGCCTGACGGAACTGATTTGAAAAGGAACTGAATCTGATGAAGTGCACTAGATAAGCAACAAGAAGTAAGGATGTTTGCTGCATTGAAAAAACACAAACATCTTAGGTAAGATGGCTTTGCATTCTCTTCTTTCAATTTGCAAAACAAAACGAAAATTTACATAACCAAATTAAAAACTGTTTAGTCATTTAAATTAGATGGTCGAATAAAGTTTGTTTACTAAAATGATGATGATATTAATTAAACGACTAAATAATCTTCAGTTGGATAAAAATTGAAGATTTAAAAGTTAACAATCATGAACATCATACATAAAAAGGCAATTACGATACAAGTTTTAAATTTAAATTAATTTAACTAAAGGAAGTTGATATTAACACTTCAAAAATCTCATTTGGTACTTCAAACTTTTTATAATTAGAAAGAAAAATACAATTACGAGACTGTAGAATGATATTTTTGAAGTGCTAATAATAGTTCCTAACTAAAAATGTTTTCGATCATTTTAAAAGTATTTCCAACATTTTTTTTTTGGTGAAATCCCAAAATAAAAGCACATTACTTTTTTATCCAAACTTGGTAAAGAAATTAAGGATGTGCTATCCACACACCCCATTTTACTTTTCACACATCTTTGATAATTTCTGTCTGTTGATCTTTTTTAATTCATCTGATTCGATAATTAAAAATTAAAAATATGTATGAGAAGTAAAATGAATTACATCCCAGAAATTAAAGTAGTCAACTGCACTTTAAATTTCACCAACCGCTCCCCCTTTTTTATGCCCACTCACACTTTACATGGGGAATCGGAGTCCATTTTTCACTGCACAGTGTTTTAAATCTTAATTTTTTTTTTTTAACATTTGCAAATTTTATCTGGAACCGAACTTTTTCCAAATATATTTTAATATCCCCACATTGGTGTGGCGTGGCCAAGGCTTTTCCAAATTCTTAGCTCAGCAAACAGCACAGTTTCTCAGTTACTCACTCTCTCACTCCATCACTTTTGTGCTTTATTTTTGGTGCCTTGCGAGCCTGCTCTGAGCATCTTCTTCCATAATAATCAAACCCCAGAAATGCTTTACAGTTTTACTTTCAGTTTTGTAACCCCCCAGATCTGAGACATTGTCCAGGTGATTTTTTAATTTATTGTCCTTGTCTCTCTATCTCTCTTCATTTATTTCGTCTTAATCTTTTTACTGTGTGTTTGCATTTGCCCTTCTGAGTCCACATTTGTTGTCTTTGAGCCTTTTGCTTAAAAGGGTTTGGCTTAAATCGAACTGGGTTTTGCTGAACAGTCTGCATTTTGTGGTAGATCCAAGTATGGTCCTTTGTTTACAAGGACTGGGGTTTTGGTCCTGAAAAAAGCTTCAATCTTTATCTAGTTCTGGACTTGTAAGTACCTCCGGCTTTTATTTTATGAATTGGGTTTTCCATTTTTTTCACATGGAGTTTTAGTTGAATTGAGTGACCTTTTAGTTGGCGAAAATTTGAGGTGAGGACTGAAGTTGAAGTTTATAGCTTAGTTGAGTAAAGGGTGTGAATTTTTACAAAACTGCACTTTTTTCTTTTATTTTCCTCTGCATTTTCTTGGAAACCAAACATAAACTTATTCGGTTTTGTTGACTGTTGGTGGAACGTAGCTTTTGGTTTTGAACGCATTTGTGGTGAACCAAAATGGAGGACAGTTTAGTGCCTGCGGGCGAAGAGACAGTTGAAAAGGTCCCCATTCCAAAGAAGAAGTCCTCTGTTTGTTCATCAGAAACTGCAAAAAGTATTTCCAAAAAGGTGAAACCTGGTGGTGCAGCGACATCGAAGGTCTCGGTTCCAACTAGTTCCATTAGACAGAAAGTAGACCCGAAAAGTGGTTTGCATCCTAATTTAAGTGTCACCAAGTCAAGTGCAACTGGCGCTACCCGGAGTTTGAATTCAGTCCCTGTAAGGCGCAACAGCACTGGAGTTTTGCCTCAGAAGCCATCAGTCTCCACCGCAAGAATGCAAAACACTGCTACTACGGCTGCAGTTAAAAAGACTCCGGACGCTGTAAGGCGGTCTCTCCCAGAGCTTAGAAGAAGTTCAGTGCCTTCAGCTGCTACTACTAAATCTTTGACTAGAACCAGCGTTTCAGAGGTTAGAAAGTCGGTTTCAGGATCGCCATTGGACCGGAGCCTGAATAAATCAACTGGATCTAATGTGAGTGTAACTAAACAAGAGACGATCAGGAATCCTGCCGTGAGGCCAGCATTGTCCACTTCTTCTTCATCTTCAAGAAGGGCGACTTCCTCATTGGACAGTAGTGCTAGCAGTGGAGTCAGGAAGTCGGTCTCAAAGCTTTCTTCCCCATCAGCTCGATCACCTGCAGTTACTAGTGGGCTGAGAACCGGTTCTTTGTCCTCTTCTCTTGATAGAAATTCTAGTTTATCTGGACGTAGGAAAACAGCAACTCCTGAACACCGGGATTCTCGGTTCATTGTACTTCCACAAGTGGAAATCAAAGCCGGTGATGATCTGGTAAGCACCATTCCTCTTCAATTTCACATACGCTTGGTTGGATACTTTATTTGATTTGCATCTGTGTGTGTCATGGTGTTGAAGATGACTACTTGTAAAATATTATCATATCACAGGTGACAGACAGTCCTTTCATTCTGTACTTATTACTGCCTTATATTACTTTTTGTGCCAGAGGTTAGATCTTAGGGGTCACAGAGTTCGTAGCCTCAAGGCTAGCGGGTTGAACTTGTCACCAAATTTAGAGGTAAACTGATTTCTTATTATATGATTAGCATTTAAGAGAATTTTGCGATCTACCTAACTACATACCTTGTCAATTATTTTGTTAGTTTCCATAATCGTTCTTCCTTGCAAGCGATTATAGTTCTTCCTTTAAATAACACTCCTTTTGGCAGTTTGTTTATCTCAGAGACAATCTATTGTCTACATTGGAGGGAGTGGAAATATTGACACGAGTAAAGGTTGGTTAATAGGACTCAACGGTTTCCATCCACATGTTCAAATTATTTGACAAGTCAACAATTTATTACTTTGCACACAATAAGCATGTAAACAATGTCTGCAGATTTGAAAATAAATAGCTTAATAATGATTGATAGTATTTCCTTATTTCCAGGTTCTGGATTTGAGCTTCAATGATTTCAAAGGGCCTGGATTTGAACCTCTTGAAAATTGCAAAGTCTTACAGGTTTGTGTTTCATATGTGTTTCATATATATACATATATTCATCTTTCCGGTAGAATGCAGATATCCATGTAATAGGGTTCTTAAATTTTGATCTGTGCAGCAACTTTATCTTGCTGGAAACCAAATCACGTCACTTGCAAGCCTCCCTCAGCTCCCTAATTTGGAGGTAAGGATTAATGAATTGTTTTCAGTTGCTGATGTGCAATGGCAGTTTTCAATTTGTTATAACCTCCTGAGTTGGTCCCTGGTGGTAATAATTTTGATGTTTCTGACTTTTGTTTGTTTTTTCTTGTATAGTTTCTCTCTGTCGCTCAAAATAAGTTGAAGTCTCTTACAATGGCAAGCCAACCTAGATTACAGGTTTGTTGTTGTTGTAGTAGCTTGCAACTTGTGGCTTCTTTTCCCTGCTCCCAGTGTTTGAAATACTTATTATTTCAATCACTTCAAAATTTCAAACAGGTATTAGCTGCCAGCAAAAACAAAATTTCAACTCTAAAGGGTTTCCCCTACTTACCAGTCCTTGAGGTTAGTTTCAAAATACCTACATTTACCCCAAGTTCTCTTGTGTGGGTCTTTATCTTTAGCAATGTAGCTGAACATCTGGCACATTTAACGTCACATACTCATAGAGACTAGCTGTGGTGATTGTATTGGTGAAATTCAATGTGATTTACATCGAGCATGTCATTGAAAGGGATTGATGCATGTGTGTAAACTCACATACTCATACTTTCTTGTTTTGTGCCACAGCATTTACGAGTGGAGGAGAATCCCATTCTTAAAATGCCTCACTTAGAAGCAGCTTCCATTTTGCTTGTTGGCCCTACCTTAAAAAAGTTCAATGATAGAGGTATCTTGTAGAATGATTGTGATTTGGTTTCTGCATCTCTATGTTTTTCTGTTTCATGCTCTTATTTTTCTTCTGCCCCACCTCAACCACCCCACCCACACCCCCCCCACTCCCCCCCCCCCCTGCGGCTCTGTCTCTGTCTCTGTGTCTATCTATAATTTTTGTGTGTATGTCACTAGTTTTATTTTCCATTAATGTGTTCTAACTTCTTACAAGTTAATGTGAAAATTTTGCCAGATCTTTCCCGAGAAGAGCTTACAATTGCAAAGCGCTATCCTGCACACACCTCTTTGTGCATTAGAGATGGTTGGGAGTTTTGCCGTCCAGACCATGCAGCAGGTGTGTAATTTGATTTTTTTCGTTCTTTTATGTTGCAAAATTCAGTTCTCGTGAAATCTTTGGTGCAGAGCTTATGTTTGGTTTTGAAAGGACAAGTCGCTGTTGGAACTTGGAAGTAAAGGGTTTGAATGGATGCCTTACTGTCTTGCATAATTCCTTTTGGAGAGACAAGTTGTTTTTGATAAAGGGACTGCAAATCTGATGGTTTATCGTGTATTATGCTTCATATGATAATAATGTATTGAAATGC